CTTCACAATAATGGCGAGTCCCTTCAGGGTGATGTTCGTCGACCGTCTGGTTGCTGAGAGAGTCCCTTCAGGGTGATGTTCGTCGACCGTCGGTTGCTGAGAGAGTCCCTTCAGGGTGATGTTCGTCGACCATCTGGTTGCTGAGAATGGTCTTCACCCTCACAGTAGGCGCAGCGAAGAGAGAGTGTCTCCACTCGGTGTGAGTTTTGAGTCTTCGGGTCCAGGACTTAAACCATGGATGGTCATGCTGGAGTCCAGTGACGTAACCACTACACCATATGCTGGTCCCCTCATCCCCCCCACACACTTTTTTTTTTTCAACACGAATCCATTTTTATTCATTTACTTTTCATTATTTTAAATCCTTGAGGGGTGCAGCATCACATGGATTCTGTGTTCAATGGCCTTAGCAGGAAGGTTGCTTTGGAATTTGGCTCGAACCAGGCCACTGTTTCCATGGGCACGGGTAACCTTTCCCCAGATTACTCTGGTTTTATTTGGTTTGCTACCAGGAGTCACTGTGCTGTTTTTGCTTTGTACACATAAGCACACCTCCTGCCTAAATAGAATTCCGTTTCATCTCGTGCATAAACACCTCAATTTTAAGAAGAGCTGTGTGCTCCCTTTGGTTCCTGAGACCCCGCTTACAGCCAGCAAAAACGGCCTTGTGCCATAGCCTTCCAAGCATTGTTGCCTTTTAGAAGTCCTGTTCCCAGCAGGCACAGTGAAACCCACCTTGATTCCCCTCATCCCTTTTCTAGTAACCCATTTCAGTGCATAACCAGCCTTGTAGGATATTTATTGACTATCCTTTTATCCAAATCCTTGGAGCTGAAAGTCTTCTGGCTCTCAGTGGAAATAGAAAGTCACTGCTGACTGTCATCAGCCCCAGAGCCTTTCATAGATTTGATTTCATGGTGAATGTCTTAACTACTTTAACCCAGTAGTCTTCAATGTAGTCTTCAATGGGGGCTGTTTTACCCTCCAGGGGCATTTGGAAAAGTCTGACATTATTTTGGGTTGTCATAACTAGAGGGAGGATGCTGCTGTTGTAGCATGGGTAGAGGCCAGCCATGTTGCTAACCACTGAACAATGTGCAGGGTGGTTCTACACACACACACACACACACACACACACACACACACGCGCGCGCCAGACAATTATGTCATGAATGAAAAGCCTCCAGGTTAATATATGCTGCTACCTTTTCTCATATAGTCTCATTTTCCAGTCCTTCAGTAATCATCTGAATTTTCTTTGACCCTTCTCTCAAACTGACCTTATCCTAGTCGATCTGAAGCCGTGAATTCCACCTGGACCTGGGCATTAGTGAGTACAAGGGACAGATTATTTCATGGAGGATATGTACACAGAGCTTCTCTGGGGATGCCAATGCCTCACATCAGATGTCTGGAGGCATCTGTATGAACTCCTGGGACACACAAAAATTCTGACCAAAAAAAGAGTGTCAGAATATCTGGGACCCATAGAAAAAGAAAGGAACTGAAGGTGGTGGGTGGGGAAAGAAAGATCTTCCTGAGCTAGAGCCCGAGAACAAAAGAGTAGTAGAAAACGTGGGGCCAGCTGGAGGTGTGCTGGGGGAGGTGGCTGGATCCCTCATGGTCAACAGTGTGGTTCAAGCCCTGGACCCTGAGGCTTGAGTGTATGCACATACCCCAAATCCCGACTGGAGGAAGAAATGGAGAAGAAGGGGTTGCTGCGTGACCATTCACAAGGGGGGGTGTTTTCTCACTTTTCATTTGTCTGTCTCTCTCTCCTACGAGCATGCACACTCTCTGGCAAAATTTAAAAGAAAGAGAGAGAGAGAGAATAAAGGGAAAGAAAGAGAGAGAGAGAGAAATTAAGAAAAAGAAAAAAGAGAGAAAGAGAAAGGAAAGGAAAGGAAAAATGGAAGAGAGATTTCCGAAGGCTCACTCTTACAACTCCCAATGTAGACAAACAAAGAGAGGGGCTGAGTAAGGTTTCCCAGTCTCTGGCGTGTTTCTGTAGCCTTAGGATATGTGTTTAAGATAACTTTTGGTGAAATCTTAAACTTCATAACTTTTCCAGCGTTGATTTTTAACCCTCTGTTTCTCCATACTGTGAAGCAGTGAAAACCCTCTGAATGAAAAGGCTTGTGAGCCTGCTTCAAAAACAGCATCAGCAGCCCCACTCGGAGGTGAAATTGAGAAAAAGGCATTTCTAGAAGAAAACCTAGACTGTCCATCGCTAGAAGAGAAGCGACCTGGGGAAGTCCCTGAGATCTGAAAGAAGAAACCTGGGGTCCATGAAAGGCTAATGCTGGAGTTGGGAAAAGTGCTTCGAGTCTACAAAGAAGGATGCCAAGTTCTGCTTGACACGGTGCCTCACTCAAGAGCAGACTTAATGTGCAGTTTTCCGATTTTGATTAACATTTTGATCCTAATTACTGCTCCTAAATTCAAATTATAGCTTTCCAGAGGATAAAAAAGAAGAAGGAGGCGGCAAAGAAGAAATGTGCTGAGGTTTACATAGAGATCGAATAACCATTCCATTCTAAACCATGGGTTCTGCCATTTGTTGAGTTTTCACGCCAGGCGGACATTTCTCAGGCTTGATGTCTACACAAATACTCACGTTGGTTGGTTTGAGTAAGGAATATATAACATGTTCCTTGAAATGATAATTCCAAGTTTGCTATTATATTTAGATGACTCATGAAGACTTTATTTGCACACTATCCATTTAGTATGAAAGATGATCTGGATGAATATGAGAAAAGAATGGATTTTGAATTCATGCAGGAAGATGGTGGCTTCGTGGCTCTCACATTCTCTCTATATCCAACTCCAACTCCATCCCAACTCCAGCTGCTGGAGCCAGTCAGTAGGCAAGGGGGACTTAAAAGGGAGAGTCAAAGATTGGATTGGATGCTTTCTTCACTGAGGGCAAGATAGGATCTAGTGAAGACAAAAAAGAAAGAAAAATAAATAAAATGAATAAAAACACGGAAGAAATAGAAGTGCAGCCCCCAAGAGGCTCTGGGGATAGATAAACTCATGATTTTTAGACTAAAAAAAATTTCTGTGTGAGGCTTTTTTTATTTTCCTATTTTTGTTTATTTGTTTATTTTAAAAAGATTTTTACCATAGGGCATGTGTGCTCAAGGGAGAGAAACAGAGAGAGGGAAAGTGAGAAATCACCCCCAAGGGAGGATGGCCACATGGCAATCCCTTTTTCTCCATTCTCCTCTTGTAATCTTGGGCATACACACATGTGCCTTGTGTGATTTTCAAAGTGCTGGGTCTGGGACTTGAACCATAGTAGGACATGTGGGAATCCAGCCCCTTAACCACCATGTCATCTGCTGGCTCAGCTAAAAATATAATAGATGAAGGTTGCTGCTGAGACTCAATTTAGAAGCCTAGAAAATCCAATGAAAGAATTATCTCAGGGCTTTCTCTGAAACCTAGTGATTAAGGAAACTGGATACCACATGGCTAATTGTGGTCCAAATCCAGGACCCAGTGGCTTGAAAAACATGCTGGATGCTTTGTGTGTATGCCCCAAATTTTTACAGGATGGAGCAATGGAGAAGAAAAGATTATAGCATGACCATGCCCCATTGGGGGGTTCTCTCTCTTTCTCTTTGGTGAGCATGTATGCCATCTAGCAAATAAAAAAGAAAAGAAAAAAGAAAAATCTCCAATAACAGAGCAAAAATATCAAGGGGTAGAAATTATACACACACACACACACACACACACACACACACACATATAAAGATTAGAAATTTGGAGGCTAGATCTTGGAAGGGAGATTCTAGAAAGAGGATAAGAAACAGATGGAGGAAAGATAATAGTAGGAGAACTTTTTTTTTTAATTCCCAAGTCTACAAATTCAAAAGATCCACTAATGTCTAAGTATAATGAATAAGAAATATATCTAGGCAGATGCTGATAAAATCCTTGAACTTCGGGGACTAACAGGTGGCATGGTAGTTAAAGCGCTGGACACTCCCACAATGGCTGACCATGGTTCAAGTCCTGGACCTGGCGTCTTGCTTGCTTGCTTTCTCACTTTCTCTCTCTCTCTCTCTGTGTATGTCTCTCTTGGGTCAAATTAAAATAAAATGAACAAATAAGTAAAATTAAATAAAAATAATTCTAAAAACTATCTTTGAACTTCGAGATAAAGGTAAAATCTTACAAGATTCCAGGGGAAAAAAATGAATAAACTACAAAGAAAAAGAATTAGGCGAATATGTGACTTATCTTCAACTTTGGAGGCTGGGAGAGAGTGGAGCAAACTCTACACTTACTGAGAAAGAAAAGGACTGAAATCCAAGAATTCTATAGCCAGGCAAGTTATCATTTACCTGCCTATGTGAATGAAAGATATATTCACAAATGCACAAGAGTTTAGAGAATATATCAAACATGCCACCAGTCAAAAAAAGACTTAAATAAAAATGAATCTGAGAATAGCCCCTAGCACAGTGGTTAAGTGTTATGTGAAGGGAGTGGATCTCACACACCAACCTCTTTGAATTCTAGCCCCAGTGGCTTGAAAAACATGCCATGTACATGTGCACATGTGCTAGGATCTTGAAGAAAAGGAGGAATGGAAGAAGAGATTCAGAAAGATGAAATCAGCCCCACTGATGGGTACTTTCTCTCCCTGGCATGTGCTTCCACCCTATGGCATAAAAAAATTAATCTGAATAGAACTTTATATATGTGCATGTGTATCTAGCTAGCTAGTTAGATGCAGAATCTTCAAAAAGCTGACTGAAAATGCATATTATGAAAAACCTATGGATGCATTTCAAATTGTTTTGCACAATTTTGCACAATAAACTTATACTTTAATTCCATTTTCCACAGACCTTTTGAAGTCTCCTCATACATGCACATATGTGTGTCCATGTACACACACACACACACACACACACACACAAACACACACATATATATGGTGTATTAATTATTTACTGCTATACAACACAGTACTCCAAAACTTAGTGGTTTAAAACAACTGTAAGCGTTTATTATCTCTCACAGTTTTCGAGGGTCAGGAGTGGCTTAGCCAGGAAGTTCTGAAGTGAAGTTTTCATGACAATGAATTCATGATGTGGGCCAGGACTACCATCATCTGAAGGCTAAATTGGGGTGGGAGGACCTCCTTCAAAAGTGGATCACTCATACTACTGGTCAGTTGTCTGGTTCTTGGTAAGAGGTCTTGGTTCCTCTGCTCATGGATTCTCTTCAAGTTGCTTGAGTGTTCTGACGGGAAGGTGGCAGCTTTCTCCAGAGACAGCTATACACAAGAGAAAGAACCAGGCGAAGCATCAAAAACCACATCGTATCATTCTATTTATGAGAAGAAGAGGGTCACTAAATCCAGTCCCCTTTCAAGGAGAGGGGAGTTCGATTCTCTCTTGGAGGGTAGAAGTGTTAAAGTGTTTGTAAATATATCAAGTATAAAGATAATGTAAAAACTGATAGAAATGCAAGGAAAACCTAATAAAAATGTAATTATGTTGGTACATTTCAACATACCCTTTTTTCAGAATTGGACACATAGAAGATAGGTAAGGAAATACAGAAGAGACTAATTAAAATGCTAGATTAATAAAAATACATAAAGCCTTACATCCCTAAAAAAAGAAGATATCTTTTTAAAATAATTATTTATTGAGGCAAGCAGAAAGGGCAGGCCAGAAGAAGACCAAGTCCACCATGAGAGCTGAGATCTAGTGAATTTCAGAGATAAGGCAATGAAGATGTCCTGCTGAGAATTTACCCTGGTAGAGCCCCTGTATCCTTCTCTCTGTCTCTTTCTGTCACTTTCTGTCTCTCTATCTCTGTCTTTTCATTTTTAAAATTTTTCTTTTAAAAAAAATTTTTAAGGTAAAGTTTTTTCTTGGCTCTGAAATTCTCCTTTATCTTGGTAATAATCCCTTCCTCTTTCCCCCTCCCATCTAGGCAAGCAGAAAGGGCAGGCCAGAAGACAGAGTCCGCTGAGAGTTGAGATCTAGTGATTTCACTTTTTGTTTTTTAAAAATTAACAAATAAATAATATTTGTTTGTTTGCCATTTCTGTTTTTTTCTTTTTTTCTCTCTCTTTTTTTTTATCCTTTTTCTTTTTTCTTTCTTTTTTTTTTTTTTTTTTATATTACCTAACTTCATTCCCTGAGCATCATCACAACATACTAAATGTGGTTTCCCATCTAGGATAAACTGCATGGTGGCTTAATCAAGCATGTTATCATCAATAATATTCCATTTCTACTTTCATACATATGTATACATATATATGTTTTTTATCCCATGTTTGACCCTCTGCCCTCCCCCTCTCCCATTACACTATCTCTGCTATATACAGTTGTCTTCCAGAGGAGTTATTGAAAATGTGATACATGCAAGTAAAGGGAGAGGGGCCACGAGTTTAAAGTTTTTAACAATAGGGAACAAATAGGGAACATAGATTCCATTCAAGGTTGGATCAAGGGTGGGTCTCATGCAGTTCTGCAATTGTAGGTGAGTCTCCATGGAATACAGTTTTAGGAAAGCGGTTCTGGTAAGCAGAG